TATTCACGTAGCTCATTGGTATAACCTCAACTTCAGCACTGATGTTATGTTCTGCAGCAAAATCTATCATCTCCTGCGTTTCTTTCATGCCTCCAGCAGCAGAGCCACTCACAATCTTTCTTCCTGTATGTTCAAGCATAACATAAAATGTACATAAATCAGATTCATTCATGATACATAAAATGAAATGGCATTATAATTTACTATTTATTACCTAAAAGAAGAGGGATAGAAGGTACTTGTAGTGGCTCTTGTGATGCTCCAAGAACCACCAGCTTACCATGGGCCTTCAATAGTCCTAACAATGGTGCTATTGGGTGATATGCAGATACCGTATCGATGATCCCATCCAAACTACCGATTGCCTCCTGCAAAGCCAACAAAGTAATCAAAATCATGCAAATAAAAGTAAAGAGTATGTTATAATTTTGTTCAAGATGTTCATGATACTGTTAGAATAATTAAATATAATAATTATGTGAGTATACCATTAAATGGTCTATATATTTGAATTATTGATATTCAATTATTTATATTTAAATCTTATTGGTTAAGAAAAGATAATTTGATCAAGCATTTATGAACCGTATGAGAGATTATTATAACTAATCCGTAGGAAATAACTACGGGTCCTCTCTCTATCTCATAATGGGGGTTAGTTTGTTTCATAAAGAATTAATCTCATAAAGAAAAAAAAAGTGAAATGAAAAAGAATAAGAAATCATAGTTCAGAATTCAACAAATTCATTGTGAAAATCATCTTGTTTATGATCTTGTGGATTTAAGATTTATGTAAATTCATGTTTTTCGTTTCGATTTCGTTTACATAATTTATGTTGAGAGTTCTTGTAAGAATTAGAATTGTGAGTTCTTGGAAGAATTTGAGAACTTGAATCTTATTGATACGTGTATGTTGATGGATGCAACAATAATAACAACGAAATGTACCTTCAGTTGTTGATCATTTGTGCTAACAAGAAAGCGATCAGCTCCCAGGAGTTCAAT